TCGTAGACTCGTAGTCTCCCATCCCCATTTGCACCTAGTGCAGGTAGTAGAGATTTCCATACCTTTTGCCACTAACCAGACGGCTGGTCGTCGGCTGATGCTGTAGCCTGAATGACCTGTAACCAAAGCGTACTGGCCAACTTCTGAGAAGGAAGACCTTTCAACTCAACCCATAGAGTCTGGATTGTTTCAACACAGGTACCCGCATGCCTTGCTCAGACCGTCTCTTCACTACCGTAGTATAGGGTTGCTTTTTTTTTTTTTTTCTTATTAAAAAAGTCCATGGTGTTGTAGAGGCCAGTCACTGAGTACACAGTGATCACCTGGAGCAGTAGGCCGTGGGTGTCCTGGAATATGGGACCACCTCCCATCCCATCCTTACGTCAATGCTCCTAGCGCACCCCCTATGGTTGCTTTTTAACTTTCCTCCTAAGAAGTCCAGTGCCTACTTGGGGTTTATACTCCTCCAAAGAAATCAACTTGCCATAATGATTCTGATTATTGCACCAACCTTTTGCAGACGGGTGGGTGCAAAGTGAAATCACTGGTTCTACCCTCCACTATTAACAAGGTCTTAGACTGAGTTGATTGTTTGCCCTGTCGCCGTACTAAGGTCCGAACAGTTACTGCAATTTCTTCAATCCCCCTCCCATTGAGTCCAACTTACCTGATGCCCCTGGATAAATCTCTTTTGTGAAAGTTGAGTCTGCCGCCACATGCCATGCTATTGCTTCCAAAGCTCCATCCAAAGCCGGGCCCTCGATCTGCCAGAAGTCATGACCTCCCTTTTCGTTGAGTTTCCTTCCCCATAATCCATCCACTGGTATTGATTCTGTCTGCATGATCCGCACCCAGCCTTCAGGGATAGCCTGAATTAGTTTCTGAAGTTTGGGTTGCGCTTCTCTTACTCTTAAACCACCAGAACTTCCTAAAGTCGTGCCCGTTAACGCTACGCAATTTTAGTAAACGTACGGGCCACTACAGGAGCGCCCAAATTCATCCAACTAGAAAGTTTCTACTCTATTTTTTTCCGCGGCCGATAGCTGGGCCAAGTACTGGTGGTTTAACAATTTCTGTCTTAGAACTTTAGACTGTCGACCCAGTCCTTCTTGTCTTCATTCCAAATGTCTCTCACCCTTAGTTTGGGTTTGCGTTTTTTTTTTCCCTTTCTTTGTGTTCTTGTACCCAAAGGACAGGACCTGGATCCAGAGGCCTAGCTCAGTTGGTAAGGCACGCAAGTGGCATTCAGGAGGTCGTGTCAAAATGGACATTTTTTATTTTTTGAACGTAATTGAAACTAAGTTTTTTGGCCCAAAACTCGTCAAAATTTGCTGTTCCTGAGGGTCCAGCGTTTTACAAATGCTGGACCCCCTGGCTGTACGACAGGGGTCCAGCCACCCTCAGGAACAACAAATTTTGACGAGTTTTGGGCCAAAAAACTCCGTTTCAATTTCGTTCAAAAAATAAAAGATGTCCATTTTGACCAAATGGCGGTTGATGGTCAATCCCCATGGCCTCACGTACCTTCCTGGGCAAGCTTTGTGCCTGCCACCTAGAGATTAGGCCACTGGATCCCCTGATCGGCGATAGGCATCTGATGCTACCAGCTGTCCCCTACTGTAGCCGGTGCAGCTTCTCTATTTATGCGAGTCATCCTTGCGCAGGGGCCATGCTACTCTTCTCTGTATCGTTCCAATGTTAACGGATGTCCCGAAGAACGGGTGCAGCTTCTGTGTTCTCTCGTGGACACGGTTGTGGCTGCTACGGGTCGAATGTTAAAAAAAAAAAAAGAAAAAGGAGGACAGGACCTGGCCTACAAGATTCACTTCCTGGTTTATGAAAGCCAAGGGGGACACGGATTGTTCTTTTCTCTTTTTTTTTTTTTGTGAAACAACCCGAACAGATGCTAGGGATGATTGTTCTTTTTTCTAACTGCGAGCGTGTTGTCCTTTTTTTTTTTTCCTTTTTTTTTTGTTTTTCTAACAAGGCGTCCCTTACATTTCAGTGCCAGAAATTGGGCCTGGCAATGCTGGCATCCATTACAAAAAGTTCAGCGGTCCTGTTTGAGAATGAGACATAAAAAATCCTATGCCCAAGACTTGACAAAAATAAACCACCAGAAAAAGCAAATCAAGTTTAATCAACCAATCTCTCTCTCTCTCTCTCTCTCTCTCTCTCTCTCTCTCTGTCTCTCTCTCTGTCTGTCTCTCTCTCTCTCTCTCTCTCTCTCTCTCTCTCTCTCT